AATGATTTACGGAACCAACTACGGAACGCTCCCTTTTGAAACAGCTGCTTTTGACTTTGATCGAATGTTGCCTGACCGGCGCACTTTCGCTTGTTCTATTTCTATTACAAAACTCCTTGTAGACTTTTGGTCTTAATAAGCTGTTTTTCCCCTTTTTTTCGAGTTTCGAAATAAAATATAGACAAAAATGAGTGCCTGGAGACAAGCCGGTCTAAAGTAAGTCAAATATTATACTTGTATATCGGTAGGAACCATCGTCGATTCCGTACCGAAAGTTGGGTGTTATTAGGAAGTTACATAATGTTTTTCTAATTTGAGAAAAAGTTCGTAGTCCTGCAGTGGTGTTATTGAATTAGTTTGGCACAAAACCCTTGATTGAGTCAGCCACCAAAAAGGCGATAACGACAGACTGGATCTTTCCAATCGGTCCTGGCATATAAGCTGTTTCGATATTCGGGGACCCTCAAATTTCATCTGTTCACAGCTTAGGAACTCCGAATTGCGGTTTTATTAATTTTCTGATGAAGCCAAAATAATATTTAGAACTGAGTTGATCTTCATTTGCAACCTAAGAACTGACACAGAGCCTTAAGTAGTCCAATTTACAATCAACATTAACTAATTATGCGTGCAAAATTCTAGCACTCAATTACTGCCAGAAATTGGCCAGACCTGTGTGTTTTTTGCCAAACTAATACTTTAGGAATTATGGCAAGTTTCGCAACTTTTTGCTCTTTCTCTAGCTACATAAACTACTCGAACATCGCCGCTAAAGTGGTGAGGCAGGCCCTCAAAACTGAGCTAAGGGCGGATGCTGCCAAACGCAATGACTCTCACGTAAAAATCACCAAATGGGAAGGGGGAAAAGCAATTAGTAAGTTACAATAAATATTGCTACTGCTTATCATTCAATTTAAAAGTATTTCCGAGAGGAAAATAAATGTACGTTTATTTGCAAATTACGCTTTTATAATTGATTAAATATATAACACCCTTTGAAAAATTTAAAGTAAAATAAATCAAATACATAACTATATTTCAATAATGGTTAATATCACCGTTAAGTTGCAATGCGATCTTCAATTCGAAATGTCTTTCACAGTCCTTCGCAGCAACTACGTCAATTTAAATTGCTCTGTATACCTAAGATATCTCTATTATTTGAGCTTTGAGATTTTGTTGTGAATGTTTAAGGAGCACAGACATTACCTTCTGCGTAATTTCCGTGAAACTTTGTTCTTATTTCCTGTAAGTTCATGGTTGATTAGCAATATTTTTGCTTCGTTGATGGTTTTTATATAATCGAGCGAATGATAAATGCTTGCAAGCACCATAATTATATCTCGCAAGTTTAATATTACGGGTTACTTTATTTGTTTAATGTATTTCAGATGCAAGAGAATAGAGAAAATATAGTAAGTGATCAGATATTGAAATCTTATCTGCACGAGGTTTTTACTAATCACATTTTAAGCGCAATGCATTGAGTTGCTTGAGTGTTAAATTACTATACTAATCGAGTGCTGTTTTCACTCACTATTTATTAAAGATGTTATGTGGGGGTGTGTTGTGAAGAGTTATGATTTACTAGCCAATCTAATAGGGAAAACATTTTACGGTCCCATTTTCACCTCGCCGCAAGAAATAAAAACCTGGTTTTATTATTCGCAATAGTCATAATCAATTGATGAGTGAATAAATCTTCATAAAAAACGATGGGAAGCTATTTATCCAGTAAAAATCTCTTATCAAAGCATGATCGGTATTTTGCTTAAGACAAGTACATTTTGGGAATTTATGATCATGTTTTCATTGCTTCATGCATTTTTATGTTTCGTTGGCATTCAATAAAATGTAAACCACATTTTATGTTTTTACATAATTTAGATAAGTGTTTCAGCAGCTCAAAATACATAAAAGCATATGTAGGTAAATGAAAAAATATTACCGTTTCTATTGACTTTCAAGGTGGTAAGAAAAATCTGCTTCTTTACACCGATTCATCAAGTTTTCTACGGTTTTTGTTTATAATTAACTTTTTCTCAATAAGCGCATTCAAACACATGAAAAAAAAATAATTTAAAACAAAATTGAATTATTATTGTCGTTTTTCAATTGTTTGTCCTTTTTCATGGGGTGTGCTAACTTTGTTCCAGGCGGATATTTATAGATTTTTAATAATATTAATAAAGCTTTTCTGTTTCAGAGTCCACGGAATATTAGATATCACCTGTTAGAACTATTTTAAGCAGAAAGTAGTTTTAAGTGGAAATGTTCGTAAGTTAAAAAATAATGCAATAGATTTTACTAGAGATTGGTTTAATTACCTTCCATAATAATTTACAAACCACAACCATACAAAAATGCCACTTTTTACCTGCGAAGTATACACCTCAATGAAAAATAAACAACGAAGCAATTTGACTTCATAAAATACATATTTTTAGCGCTTCTTTTCACTGTTTAGGTAAACCATTATCTTGCAGTAAATGTTCACTTGGGTCGCCTAATACTTGTGGTCCACCTCCTACTTTGGTATATATAATGTATTTCAGCACACCAGTATCATGAGGAGTTAAGTTTAGGTCGTCGACAATTTTCTAAAAATTCCAATATTGTTATCGAATCTAATTGCTATAAATCTGCAAGTTACCTTGTCAAGTTGCTTATTGGGTAAAGTCAGCCCTCTATAGTATTCAACTGCATCAATATCAGCAGGTTTAGGAAAAACGTGGTTCACCACTGATATAAATTGCTCAACTTCAGATTGAAGGAGATAAATGCAAGCGTTTGGACCGGCATCGAATGTGTAGGCAACCTTTTGTCCTTTTTTGTATTCATTATAGCTGTGGACTAAATTGACTATAGCATGGGACGTGTCGTTCATATAAACACACGGCGGAAAAGTATCCAAACAAATAGCATGCATTTGGTTTGAATCCTTCATAGTGATTTCAGCGAACGATTCATAGTCCTTGTCCTCAATAGCTTTCTTCATAGCTTTTGCCCTCTGATTGACTACGCTCTCTGCTCTGAACTTGACCAAAGTTGATGTCTCTGTTGTCGTTTTCATTCCTGAAGTAGAGCTATACTTTTTCCGGCAATCATTTACGACCAATACGATTATTCGCATTTCGGGCCAATGATCAGCAGGCGCTATCTGCGTAGCGATGGAATCGGCCCCTGTTGGTAGGTCACCCTTGTGCCATTGCACCTACAAATATTTCAGATATCTTTCGCCGTTTAATCATTGGAGAAGACTTACCCAACCACCATAAATACTTCTACATGCACTTCCAGAACCCTGTCGAGCAATATCGGATATTTCCCCTTTAATTTCATATAACTGGGCTAGAGCATGCACCAAGCAAGCATAACCCGCTGCTGAAGATGCTAAGCCAGCTGCCGTTGGAAAATTGTTCTCTGAACAAATGGATATTTTCCAGTTGAATTGTGGCAACGTTTCATCGCAACGGGCTCTGACTTAAATAATCACAACATACGTTAAAAATGCGATAATTTATGCCTCCCACATCCATGCTTGTTGATGGACAATTCTTCAGTAAAACAGGGTGATTTAGTAATAACGATTTTTTGAAATATTTTGATTCGCCCTGTGAGGAGAACATTTAATACATAACACATAACATCCTTTGGAACGAGGAGATCAAGAACTGCAAGCGCTCCTAACAGCTTCCGAATTAAAAAGAGAATTGGAAAAATTATGTATAAGTTGCCGTACAACCTGATTAGAAAGATCGCAATACGAATTAGTAGCCATTCGTTCATAAAAGCCAGTGGAGCAGGAGAAAAAACACTTCAAAACATTTTTCCCATAAGGTGTCCGGACGAATACATTTTCTCTATGATGAAAGCATGTCAAACATCATAATCTTATCATTCTCAACTCGTTCACTCAACAGGGCAATTAAAGCATTCTTGAAAAATCGCTACTTCAGATTCATTCGTTGCAAATCAAGTACAGGGCTTACGAGAAAGGTGACTTCAAACTTTTGTTGAATTATGGTCGTTTCGCTGATTTTTCCGCTGTGAATATTTTTAAAACTTCTTTACTTAATGTATTAATTATCTATAGATATCCAATATTATAAGAAATTTTAAAAATCTTACTGGCTTTGATACAGTTGCTCAATCTCGGAGAGTCGAACGTCTGCTCTCTTCCATTCAGCCAAAACTTATTCTCTTTTAACAATGGCGATGCCATGATAGTCGTTTTGGCGCACATCTGGAAAAAAAGATAAATCTTTATTAGCATACATTTCCATTTTTCCGTACAACAGCAAACAATACTAAAGGCTAAAAATACCTGACATAAATGGGCAGTACTGATAATGATTATCTTTAGAATGGGAAGTTTTTGCAATGCACTGTATCTTTTAATTTGTTGGGCCACTTATTTATTATCTGCAGCTTAGGCGGATTCATGTTTGCAAAACCATTTTGTCTCAATAATATTTCTTGTTTTTTGAAGTCATCATTTCCTCTTTCCTTCTTTTAGCACCGATGGGACCAGTTTCAGCCCTGCATTTTAAGGCTTGTAATTCAAAAATGTACTCTTGTGATTGATAAACTTTCGTTGCTCCAATAAGGCAGAAAACCCATTGATAGAAATCCGTACAAAGCTTTTGGACGAAATGTATGTTGAACAACTGTATGGCCCCCAAACTAGCAAAATAGAATACTTACAATGTCCGTACTAAGGCTGGCACTAATGGAATCATTTATAGGAAGAATTAGGTTTTCATCGCGTTTGCCCCCTGCAAACAGTATGTTCTTGTTGGGTTTCAGTGTTTAAATACTGTAAATACCACTTACAATATTTAATAACAGCTATGTTCACTGGGGCTACGCAAGTCACAATTTTCATGATGATTTTCGGCAAAACTCGCTACTTTAGGAATAAAATAAATAAATAACAAGAAGCAGCCGGATCTTACCAGACTCAAAAGTAGAATGTTTTGCCAGTTCGACGAAATTAGGTTAAATAAGTGTTACGGTCAAGGTCACTGAACTTGACATTGATGGATGGTGAAGATAACGGAATGTTGCCAAATTAAGATTTCTAGGCAACCCGCAATATGGCGGTCTCCTTATCCTTTTCTGGAACATATTTGCATATTTTCCCCAGAATCTCAAAAATCGTGTAATTTTAATTTTAGTATGAACTTGGGGTTATCAAAAAAACCCCGTTAGTTCTGTATTTTCTTGGCAAAACCCAGCATATTCTTGGTAGAATATTGTTCAAAAACTAGATGTTGATTTGTTCCTATGTAATGTTTTGATGAATCCATCCGCTTTTGAACCAGTGGATCCTTCTGAAGAGTCTTGGTACAAAAAGTACTAGAATGTTAGATATGGAAGATGCAGCCAAGTTCTCACATCTTCATAAAACCTTGAGCATTCGCAGTTTCACAGTTTTTGCACAAAACAGGTTTTGGTTTTCTTACCATTTAAGTATTATCAACTTAAAACAAAACTTTAATTTTTAAGTTTTTTAAGTGAAAAAAGTATAGAGATTGTTAGGTAAAAAAATTCTCCATGCAATCGAATTCTAGAACTTCAGAATTCATCACTTGCCGAAAGCGGATGAAAAAAACATGAGTCTTGCTTAGGAATAAATTCACCGCAAGTTCCATTAACACCCAACACTCCACCGATATTACAAGAAACACATTTCTTCCAAAACTTTGTCCCTCAAAAGCTGGACATTTTTTCTTCATTAAAGGTATTTCAGTTCGTATTCTTGTGAGCCAATGAATGTGAACGGCTCCGGTGCTTACGGGACATTCCATATACAAACCCATGGAGATTAATGGAAATAAACAGGAAAAATACATCAGTCATCTCATTTCGTATATTTACATCTAACAATTAACGTTTCTTCCATGTAAACTTCCTTCTTGCACCTGCCTGGCCTGGCTTCTTCCGTTCCCTCACTCGGATGTCGAATGTTAGTAATCCAGCTAAAATAACAACAGTAAACATGCTTGTTTAGTGCGAACGAATAACACGAAATATTTATGAGACACTTAAGTAATACTTTAAAATGCCTATTTTATATATGGCACTTTTGTGTTGATGCCGGCCTGTGTCAATGAGTTATAACACCTCGCCTCTTACGCTGTGACACCTTGAAC